AAGAACATGTCGAATTTATCGTAACGAATGCCAGCTTCTGACGGTCGGTCCTATTTATATTGCTTCTAACCGGGTACTGTGATCCCCGTTGCAGGTGTGTCGTCGAAAGCATGTCAAGAGAGCGCTCCACAAACATCCCTAAAAGTGACATTTTTTGTACTTTTCAGGAGAAGCACCACTACGTAAGCTAAAACGTCAGAATTATTATGTTGCCTAACGTGAAGCCTACGTGACCAAATTTAGAAATTGCTGAATAAACCTCCGCCGGGACATCTAAAAGTGGTACTATACCTTTTTGGATGCCTTAATGCTTTGATCTGAACATAAAAGAATCCGAGTGCCACTACAAAAAAGCCAACTTCCCTTTCCACAATCTCTGGCTAATGCCCTTTGTTCCTCTCTGCCATTAAGGTCGTGTTTTTTGTATTCATTTTGAACTAAGAAAAGTTGCGTATTCACTACCTGACCGGAAAGCCTGGACAGAAACACTGACAACCGCGAATTTGGAGTAGCAGCCCTGGTTGTCGATTCCACTGATTATACTTCTTTGCCCACTAGGGGCTGCTAAATTCCCTATGACGGAAGTAAGGCGCCTCAGCAGCAAGCTTTGAGTAAAATTCGCTTTCGTTCACCCTTACGTCGCGATGCTCGGTCTGTGCTGCGGGGAGATACTGATTGTGAGAGCTGAGAATTGCAAAGCTGAACGCAACATAATAATTCTGACGTTTTAGCTTACGTAGTGGTGCTTCTCCTGAAAAGTACAAAAAATGTCACTTTTAGGGATGTTTGTGGAGCGCTCTCTTGACATGCTTTCGACGACACACCTGCAACGGGGATCACAGTACCCGGTTAAAGCAATATAAATAGGACCGACCGTCAGAAGCTGGCATTCGTTACGATAAATTCGACATGTTCTTCTACTTCCTTTGTGCGCTTCTCCTGCTCAACGCCTTTACAACTGAGGTATGGGTTGCATTCAGTTGTGTTTTAGCAATATGATAGAAGTGCCCACTTGCAAAATTGGGTACCTCCCCAGACGGGATGGCACAGTGAATGCGTTCGTTCAATAATGCGCTAGATATGCAATGACTAATCCAGGACCACATTCATTTTCTCACGTCACGATTTGCAGGCGTGCATAGATGCCATTGTCCCTGTCTGTTCACACACAATTGTCAAGAAATAAGTGTATTCACCCTCTTCTGGCACTCCTCCCTCGCTTCTCTTCCTCTTTTGATTTTCTCCAGAGCCTCCCGTCCAGCTAACCTCATTCAGCCAGCATATTGGAATAGTCACTCGCTCTGCTGGAACAGTCAATTCCTCTACTACTTCGAAGCGTGGTTTTTCCATCACAATGTTCTCCACGCCCTCTCGAGCACCACTTTGCATAATAAAACTCGTGTCTTGGATAAAATCGCAGGCCAGGTAAATTTCTAACTATTCGCGAACATCGCAGGCAGGCGCTGAATTGCAACCTCACTCGACGCCCTTGTCCATCTCATAGAAAAACTTTTCGCAACCAACAAACCACTTCGAAGCGCTATCCCCTTCCGTCATTCCCCTCCCCCCTTTCGCTGCACGGTGTCCCAGTTCCCCCTCCCCCGCCATCTTTTTTTTCCCACTCCATCTATGCCCACCCTGTCCCTTCTCACGCAGTCCCCCGCCGACCGCTCCCTCCCGTCCCCACGCCTCCCAGCTTTGCTGTCGCTTCCGCCTCTCTTCTCTCCAGTCCCCGTGTCCCTGCCTCCCCGCTCCCACTCATTCCCCGCCCTCCTTTACCACCCCCCTCATACCTCCTTCCTTTTCTGTCCCTTCCAACACTTCTTCACGCGTGATCCTAAATCACTTTAGCCGTGTCTCCTGTCCTCTTCCCCTCTCCCCTCTCCCTCCGATGTTTTCCCCGTCCCCCGCACTCCCCTCCGGACTGCCCGGCTCTGTCGGCTGCGGGCGCACTACACCTGCAGTCCACTCAGGGTAACTGATTCCAGAAAAACTGGTTTCTGTGTGGCTCGGCCGTCCTAACATCCTCGTGAAAAACCAGTACACACATACAACTCAAGAAACACCAGCTGAGGCATCCCAGTCAGGTGCCCTCTCATCAAATCATATCGAAAAAATGTGCCATTACCAATTCACACATCATCACCATAACACCGAGAGTTTTCATTACCTTCCACTCCGCCTCTGACCACCACCCCTCCCTACCAGCATACGTACTAGGATATCTGGAGAAGTGCGGTAGTAGCTTGTTCTGATTGAAGACCTACCCTATTCCATGCACGCTGCCCATTAGATCCGTCGCCCGTTTATCAGTAAGCGATCACAGCCTGTCTGGCACTCCGCCCCCGTTCTACCCGACTCGTGAGCGACGTCAACATCTTTGTCCTTACTCCCGCCATCGGCCTTCTTCGACGTTAATGAACTTCGCTATTGCATACGGCCACTGTCGAGGAGCGGCAGCCGATTTTTTCTCGATAGATCCGAATGGTGCACTGAAGTTAAGTTTTGCTTCAGAAGGCGTGGATACCTGCAGCGCACTGCTAATTTTGTGGTTGGACGTCGGAGGGCCTCTGTCAAAGCAGGATCGTAAAACTCGGAGCACCTTTTTTCCTAAGTTATGCATGGCCCCAACCAATCTTTATGTTTAGGAGGCTTGTTACTATAACCTCCCCTTCTTGACTTTTACACTCAAAAAATGTCGTCCGTCCTAACATGAACATTTTTAGCCTCCCTGTACATTGCCAGGACCATCAGGGACCCTCACTGATAGATATCCACTGCAATCCGGTAAAAATCACCTACTACAAGTAAATTTTTTTGAACCTTCTATGGCTTTCAGAGGCCACTCAGCGGAAACTCGCTTTTGTAGCCACGTGAGAGCCGCTACATCACACATAAATGATCTTCCAGAGTGCCCTCCAAAGTGCATTTGAAAAGCGCTCAACAACTGAAAGGGCACCCTTGTCAGTCTGGATAGGCACAGCTCCACACCCCAACAAGTCCCGTCCTTTTTAAGAGTCACTTCCCTGGTCTAAACGCCTTCTCAACATGATTTTTTTCAGACGATGGTAAATTTCTTCATCTTTGTCGTGCGACATCGAGAACTAACGAGAATTTTCGTATCTCGCCAAGACAAGTACCACTCACATGGTCAATTGAAATGATCCAATCTGTTTCTTAGCCAGGCATTCAGGAGAAGTTTCAGGCGATAAGGAGCCTTTCGCGGTCTCCGATACATGGAAGGATCTTACGAACGTGATAAGGATGGAAGAGAACAAGTTATGGTTCGACACTATGAACAGTTCGCTTTTCAAATGAATAGGAATCGATTATGTGGCCGCAGAGACAGGCATTTTGTGTCCGGGGATATGGAGGCTTCTTTTTGATCTCTGATTGCAATGCTATACATGTATCATTTGATCGTTGTGGTGATCGTCGGGCTACAAAACGTGCTTTCTTTTGATATAAATACATATAAGCAGAAATTCCTTGTGGCCTTGGAACCTTGGCCAATAAACGACCTCTTTCATCTTTTCCGTATGAGTTCATGCAATATACAACTTCTTTCATTGTTTTCATATGCGTATATGGATCGTTGACGATAAAGAGATCGAATACATTTCGATGTCAGTGTGACAAACGATGACAGTGTGACATGAGAATGATGAGCGAAAGTAAACAGTGGAAAGACGAATCCCTTGTAAAACTTCCGGTGGGCGACTGCATCTAATCTGTGCATACAATATATCGCCGATTTACTCCCTTAGGATGCAGTGATATACGAACGCTCTGCTACTCAGCATTTGATCTGCGTACTCATAAGTGCGCACAGAATTAGCCGTGGAAAAACATTTCAATCAGATAAGATAAGGCAAACAATGGGATTGGTTGCTCAAAAGGTAGTGATCTACGATGGCATTACGGGCGACAAGCTTTCAACGACGTCATTGAAGACCATCGGTGGAATAGACCACTTAGGCCGATGTCATAGTTTGCGAATCCAGCGATTCGCTAGCGAGTCGCTGTGTACGAGCGTTGCGCCAGCGAATCGACCGATGCACCAGCGACTCAGCACTGTTTGAAAGTGGCGGGACCCAACGTTTGAAGGAAGGTCCGCCACTTTCACAGTGAAGTCCCTTAAAAATGACTCCTCTCAAATTTGGGTCCTGCGGCCACGTTTCAAACGGTAGTAGCTTTTTAAAGGTGGACTTTTTTTGAACATTGGGCTCTGCCACTTTCAAACAGTGTCCATAAGCTGTAGTAATTGTAGCCGAAGGGGGTGTAAAAAAATTAGTTAAAGTGGTTTGGTCGTTTTTCGGCTGACAATATTGACAAGATCCGTTAAAGGCGTGCCTCAGGATCACAATGGTGCAGCTTTTGCACCCGAATGCGGAGGTATTGTCCGAAATGGGCCGACAGTAAAGAAAGTAGGAAAGGTTGTCAGGAACGCTTAGGCTGAAGGCTCACTCACCTTCGTTCTGTGCTGAGGTATAGAGAGGCTAACAATAAGCGGAGATAGGAGAGTATGAGGTGAGAGGGAGATACATATGTGAGAGCGCCTGAATACAGCCAGCAAAAACATATCCTGCACGCTTCAGCAGCTCAGTTCTCAAGGGCCCAAGCGCTCTTAATGGTTGTTTTCCGTGCATTTGGACGCCACATTTGTAATTGATCTTTGGGGGTCTATACTACAGACCCAAGGGGAGCGTTCACAACCTCTCTTTTTGTTTGCCATTTGACAATCCAAGGCAGCTAGGTCACTGAGTGACTGACGGTCTGATGAATGACTGAGCGATTTACATTTAATTTTGATTTGGAGAATTACCTATTTTCCAACCGCAATATTAATTGATCTTTATCGGTTACAAACTTTAATAAAAAACAGTTACCCCGCTCAATATGAGCGGAAGTTTTTCTCATGAAATAAAGTAGTTTGTGAACATGTAGATTTCCAGAGATCAGCTCCATAAATATAATTAACTACAAAGGTTCGTGATATGCTATGCATGAGGCTGCATAACGCTCGATCCTGTGGCGACAAAGATCCCTCGTAGTTCACGATGCCGCACGAAGAATATGAGAAAGTTGATTAGTGTCTGGAAGAAATGCAGAATTGGGAAACCATAAACCTAATGGTTGATACGATATGATCAGATAAGAAGACACGGCTGCCTAGAATGAGATGAAAAGCACTCCAGATGAAAATCGAGTGATAACGATAACCGTCTCATATGCAGCACGCTGCTATTGCATCCCCATTCACGTCCGATAAAGGGGTGCAACGCCGAATCGGAAGTGGGTTCCGGCGCCTCATCACGCCGTTGTCTCATTTGGTAAACCCACTACCCGAACCACTATGTCACTTTCCCTGTCGTCTCCATAGGAATTTCCGTTACACTTCCTTTAACATTTAAACAGAATAAGGCGGGGGGGCGGCTTATTACGGAAGCTGCTTAACATCACGCACTGGTTCCACGGTTCCTAGTGTCACGTAACTTCGTAGAAAATGAATATAATTCCAGCACTTTGAATTCACCTTGTTCAATATCAGCAAATATAGGAATAGCTTTCCTGAACTATCACTGATGGGCCAATTGAAATAAATCATAACATCCGGAATAAGGAGCAGTAGAACTGCACTGATCGTTGTCATACCTTAATACTGCTTTAATGTTCTGTGTTTATCATCCGATAGAGACGGAGTTATTGTAAGTAAACAGCAGCAAGGTAACATTTAAGTTTTTCCCGGATTCAATTCAGCCTGTTGCTAGGAACTTGGCGAGCACTCCTGAACACTCAGAAAGAGAATTTAGAAGCTTGATACAAAAGTTGCACTCGCAGTGCAAAAATTGTGGATAGCAAGTACTGCCTCACAGGATGCCACACCGAGGCAGCACCGTGACGTGAAATACGCGGCACCCTATGGTGTCACAGTGACGTCAATACTTCAAATATATTCCATGCAGGTGGTGATACTTACCCATTGTAACATTGCTACGCATGATTTTGTTGCTCTGCATTTTGCTCATTGATGGAACAAAAGCCCTTGATGTCTTAATAAACCTCTGAAATGGAGTGGCTACAGAAGGATGATTGGCTGAGTGTTCTAGAAAAGAGTTAAAAACATTACCTTACGCAACAGAATTACCACGACCACATACATCATGGCTGCGATTACAATGCATGACCAGCGGTAGAACACCAAAAAGTCCCTAAAAATATTTTCAATTGAAAAAAAACAAGATTTTTAACCATTGTGACCTTGCACTATTCCTGCCCCAAAAGCTCAAAATTTTATTTTTTGCCCATAGTGGTAATTTGATGCCCTGATTACGAATACGACATTCATTTTCGATGCTGGCGTCATTTGGCACCTATTTTCTGCTCATATTCTCATTCTCACTGATTTCATCGCGATCAGAACTAAGCCTTTGGGAAAGAGGGCTCAGAGGTGAGTCAGCTCACCATATGATCTCACAAACTCCTTCTTTCGCCGCATAATGCGTAATCTAGCTAGCACGGAGGCCCCCTTCTGCAATAAGACAGCAGTGTGAAAGATAGACCTCAGAAGAGCAGAAAATATGCGTTGGACAGCGGTATCACCTCACCTGTATCACCTGTCGTCCCGTTGATCATCGAATTGCTCGAGCGGGCGCCAGCAACGTCTCCATTCGTCCCTGTCGCGTGCAAGAGTTGTCCAGTGGACCCTCCTCGCTCGAGGGACACGATGTCCTTCATTCCTTTCGTTCAGAGCTTTCGTGAAGAAGTCTGACCATCGGGCCGGCGGTCGTCCAGGTGTTCGTTTGACGTCCCGAGGGATCCAGTCGGTAACCGCTCTGGTCCAACGGTCATCGCAAAATCGCATGACGTGTCCGGCCCACCTTATCTTCGATTCCTTGGCGAAAACGGCAGCGTCCCTGATCTTCGATCGTTGGCGTAGTTCCGAACTCCGGATTCCCCTCTGCACTTGCGTGTATAGGGTTACTCCTAGCATCGTCCTCTCGACAGCGCGTTGGATAACGCTGACCGCATGCTCGTCCTGCCTGCGCAGAGTCCAAGTCTCTGAGGCGTAGGTTAGGGCAGGAAGGACAGCGGAATCGAAGAGGTGGGCACGGAGCCGGATGTTCTTCGTCTTCTTCACTACTCCCTCGATGTTCTTATACGCTCCCCAAGCCGCTCGTTTCCTCCTGCTCAGCTCTGGAGCTAGATCGTTCATCATATTGATTTCCCGACCTAGGTACACGTAGCTGGAGCATTCGGTGATGTTCGTTCCGTTGAGCGTGAATGGGGCATCAGGAACCAATCCGTTTCTCATAAACATCGTCTTCGTTAGGTTCAGCTGTAGACCAACCTTACCACAGGCGCAGTCGAAATCAGCCAGCATTCGCTCCGCTTGCTCGATGTTCGGCGTTATAAGAACGATGTCGTCAGCAAAACGAAGGTGGTGTAGTTGCCGGCCGTCGACCTTCACTCCCATGTCTTCCCATTCCAGTTGACGCATGACGTTCTCGAGAGCGGCGCTGAAGAGTTTGGGCGAGATGGTGTCGCCCTGTCGAACCCCTCTCTTGACGTCGATGATGACCTCCTTGTAGAATGGTGAGATTCTGGTCGTAAAGTTGCTGTAGAGCTCACGAAGAATCTTGATGTACTGAGTAGGGACGCCCTGGTTGCCCAAGGCTTCGATGACCGCTTCTGTCTCCACAGAGTCGAAGGCCTTCTTCAAGTCGATGAACGTGAGACAAAGCGGCATCTTGTACTCTCGTGAAACTTCAATGAGTCTTGTAACCGTGTGGATATGGTCGATCGTGCTGAACCCTCTTCGAAACCCTGCTTGCTCGCATGGCTGTCCTTCATCTAGTATTCTGCCGATCCTGTTAAGGATGACTCGAGTGAATAGCTTGTAGATTACAGACAGCAGGCAGATTGGGCGATAGTTGCCAATGTCGTCCAGGTCTCCCTTCTTGTACAGCAACACGGTCCTGCTGGTTTTCCACGGAGTGGGTACCTTGCATTCCGACAGGTAGCGCGTGAAGAGTCGAGCCAGAGTTTTGATGATAACTGGCGGCGCATTCTTCAGATGTTCCGGTTTGACCCTGTCGAGACCGGGTGCTGTACGATTCTTCACCGACTTGATGGCGTGTCGGACTTCGGAAGAGAGTACTGAGGGGACGACGTATCCATCCTGTTGCAGTTGATAAGTGGGCAGATGGACATGGCTATCGAAGAGATCCGAGTAGAAGTCGTGGATGACTTTCTCCATTGCCCTTCGGGATGCAGTAACTGTTCCATCCGGACGTCGGAGGCAGGTCATCTTGGTCTTGTAGCTGGCAAAGCTTCGGCGGGCATTGCGGATGCTCCTCCCAGCCTCTGCTGCTTCAGCTAATACTGCTGCTCTTCGCTCCTTGAGATCTTCCTTTATCGCCTCTCTGCATAGCTTCGCAAGCTCGGACGTGAGTTGGTGATTGCCTGCAGCTCGTGCGGCTCCACGTTGGCGTATCAGCTCGAGAGTTTCCGTAGACAGACGTCCTTTGGTGACTTGCAAACTCTCTGCCTTCCTGCCACTCTCGTGAAGGTGTTCAACGAGCCGATGATATTCCTCGTCGATGTTCTCGATAACGGAATCCTCCCATAAGCTGACGAAAGAAGTGAAGTGATCCCAGTTGATGACTGTCCTGGGGCTTCGCTTCCTGAACTTCGAGGCTCTCTCAACACGCATCGAAAAGTGGAACTTTGCGCGGAGGAGACGATGGTCCGATCCCGTGTAGAACTTCGGAACAACAGCGACGTCGGTCAGGCAAAACCTTCGATTGAAGATGATGTGGTCTATCTCGTTATGGAACTGTCCATCAGGTGACTCCCAAGTCCAAGCGAAGGTGAGAGGGCTTCTGGAACTGCGAGTTACCATGGATGGTATTGGTCGACATGATAAACTCAGACAGTCTTTCGCCCTGCTCATTCCAATCCATTCCGTGAGTACCGATGTGAAGTTCTTCAGCCGTTCTTCTCGGGCCAATCTTGGCGTTGAAGTCGCCGACGATGACCTTGAAGAAGGTATGATCTTCCTTGTAGAACTTCTCCAATTCCATATAAAATGCTTCGTGTTCCTCCTCGTCGTAGCTCGATGTTGGTGCGTAGGCGACGAAGATTGTCAAAGCAGGAGTTGAATCCACATCTTCTCAATCTCAAACGTCCGATTCGGGTCGTAAGGCTTTCGTACGAATCGATGTTTATGGCCAAGTGCGTGTTGACGAGGACACCCACACCGCCAACGCCTCTGCTGTCGCATGTTCCAAGGAACAGTTCTTCTCCAGTATCGAAAACGGCGTGTAGCGGGCGGTGCCTTCTCGTCTCGGTCAGTCCGATGACGTCGTACTTGATCTTCCTGGCCTTGCATCATCAGATCTTCGATGTGAGCTTCGGATGCAAGCGTTCGTGCGTTGAAAGTACAGATCGCCATCTTAGTCCTTCTTCGTTTAGGCAGCCTATCCGGGCCCTGAGATTCTAGCAGCCTCTCCCGAGCGGTCCTACCCAACGCTGCCGTATTGGGGGCTCCCTCAGGTTCAGGGGAATGAGGCCCATCCATATTGCTGTTTTCGGCATATTGAAGGCACACGAGTAGCTTGCCAGGCTCTGTCGTGTGGGCTAGGATAGACCTCCAGGTAGTTAGCCACGCTATCCTGGAGCGGAACAAGGGGCTTATTTTTTGGAGGCGGCCCCGAATCGCCTCCCATGTACTTCCCAGTCACTTGAATGCAAGCTTTTGGCTGTGCCGACATGCAGGATACCAACCGCACACACACAGAGCGCACCACACACGCAAGCATGCATGGATGCGCCTGAGTGGAGACAGCTGGTATGAATCAACACAGCACTACAGAAACAGGGAGTCCATCCCCTGAATCCACCTGCGTCTCAGGGCAAGTACATGGTGGCTTTTGGTCCGCGATTTACCCCCCCT